ATGCAAGTTTTATGGGCAGGAAACTATCCCTGTTTACTCTTGCAAATTCATCCTCTGCTCTACACTGAGGATAACGAGTATCACATATAGTACACATTAAGACAAGGGTTGTATTTCAGTGAAAGCTACTGAGAAAAAAGTCTAGATGTAAGTAGTTGTTCGTGTATGAGTTGCAAGGAAATTGGTACTCACGGTCGATGCGCCTGAAACTCCAGACAGCGTCCAATCCTGCCTCTCCTCCACGTCGAGACAAAAGTAGACAGCGGCAGGAATGTTGGCCCCGCCCCGAGCGTGACGTCACCGCCAGACGGTGATGTCCGGTCTGCGGAGTATCATCCGTGCCAAACAATAAATGCGCATAGAAAACATAAATGTGTTGTTTGCAAGACAAATAAACACATTTGGAGTGGAAATTGGAACATCCACAGAGAGTTTCAAACTTGGACAAATTACATTAAAGGTATTATTTATAACATGTGTATGGATAAATAATACATCTTAAAATAGCACCCACAGGGCAAAAAACTAGCATACGTTTTCTTGATCATGATTGTGGATTAATTATTATTAACAATGTTAAACCATTATGACCAAAATTAACGTTTTGTTTTTATCTCTGCGTATGATATGAAAAGTCATATTTGAGGGTCAACACAAATATATATATTATAAATTCTATTTTAAAATAACCACCGCTATTTAATTATTGCTAACAATATATTAATTATATTACAAAAAACGTTATACAATCTCTCTCTCTCTCTCTCTCTCTCTCTCTCTCTCTCTCTCTCTCTCTCTCTCTCTCTCTCTCTCTCTCTCTCACTCTCTCACTCTCTCACTCTTCTCTCTCTTGTAACAGTGAAACAACCCACGCTGTTATGTTTATCATTTAAGATCAATACCTAGCTGTATTAATCTGAAACTGGAGCACAGTGGAACAAAACAATGACCATAGAACCGTATAACCGCTTCCCATCCACTGATGTCCGTAGGGAGAGTGAGGTAAGTAGTGCCAATTTTTACTTAAAGTGCCTTTAAAGCAAGGGGATTACAGTAATGCCTCCAACTAAAATATGTACATATAGTTTAGGATGTTGTGCATCCCTGGGAACAATCACTTCGGATCTTAAATAAACTGTTTGAGAAATATAGCTTTAGAAAAAAAAGTGGTTTTGTGGCACAACTTGCCCCCGGTGCGGGGTAAGTTGTGCCATTAGAGACAATACACTGGGGTAAATTGTGCCATTGATAATTGAAGTAAAACAGATCATTTTAATCTCACAAACAATAATGCTATATAAAAGCAAGACACATTCAATACAAAATTATTTATTTAATGTTTATTTAAAGTTTTAACAACATCAAAGGCCACTTTAAAAATGAGCAGCAAATCATCTGCATCTGAATCTCTTCACAGATTCGGCCTACTACTGAACATCCCACTTGTCAATGCTGCAGGGGAATGTGAATTTATACTCCCTTCTGGCTGTACCACCAAGTTTTTGTGGTGTGGGTAGTTTCTTGAGCACATCACCTCTAGGGATGACTCCTTCATCATTCTCTCTAAATGTGAAGATGGGCTTTCCATCAACAGACCTCTTATAACTTTGCTTCAGAAACTTTGCACTGATCTCGTCACCTTCAACATTCTCCACCAATCCAACATAGTTATAGCATTTGGATTTTTTACCTGCAAACTTCACAATGACAAAGTCACCAGCAGACAGATCCTTGTCACCATCATCATCATCACTCTGGACATCTGAACTCTCATAATGAGTGGTATCGCTAAGTGGAATCGGAAAGTCACTCTCTTCTGAGCTACTGGAGAGCACTTTCTTTTTGGGCTTGGTTGGTTTTGACCCTTTCAGAGCCCCCTTCTTATTTCCACTCCTTTTCTTCTTCTCAGCCCGTTCCTTTTCTCTGCTGTGTGTCTTCTCCAGACCATCTTCTGCCTCATCATTGGTGGTGGAGCTTTCTTCTGAGCTACTGTACACAGCTGTTTTCTTCTTGGTTTTGGTTTGATTTGCAGCTTTCAGAGCCCTTTTCTTCTCTCTTTCATTCTTTTTCTTTTCCTGTTCAGCCTTTTTATCTTCTTTTTCTTTGTGAGCCTTCTCCAACTCCATCTTCTCAGGTGTGTCGGTCACGATTCTTGTTTTCACTTTCTTTCTTACACATTTTTTTTTTCTTTCTGTGGCTTTTGGCAAGGGAAGAATGACAGGATTTGCCCTGTCTGTCACCATTGATGGTGCATAGTCTTCTTCCGGGAAGATGTCCCTGTTGAAAGGGTATATGCCTGTTGCTCTGAACCCTGAGGTTATGTTTGTTGGTGACATTGCAGAGAGGAACGCTTGCTTCACAAGTTCCGAGACCTCATAGATTGATACGGTTCGCCCAGGATGTGATCGCATCCACCCATCCATCGCTCGGTTATAATAGGTTTTGAGTGGTCCATAGACAGTTTTGTCTAATGGTTGCAAGCGGTGTGAGGTATGAGGTGGCAGGGTGAGCATAATGACCCCATTCTCTTTAGCAATTGTCACTGACTTGAGTGAGATGTGAGACTCATGGTTGTCCAGAATGAGCAGGACTGGGTGATCGGTTGAGCAGTTGGTGTGGCGGATGAAGTGCTTCAGGAAGATGAGGAAGGCGTCTTCATTCATCCATCCAGACTTTGTACAATGACCAATGGAACCTGCTGGTGATCCATTGAGGAGGCTGTCCTTGAAGCGGACACGCGGGAAAATGAACATGGGTGGGACTGCATTTCCAGTGGCGTTTACTGCACAGGCCACAGTGACGAGCTCTCCTCTTTCAGCAGATGTTACTGAACCCACTTGTTTCTTCCCTTTTTCTGTGACAACCTGCTTGGGTGTCTGCACTGTCGTCACACCAGTTTCATCCATGTTGTACATCATGTGTGGAGGGAAGCTGTACCTGAAATGAAATAAAAGGTAGTGCTGATGATCAGAGACGTTTAAAGCAGTTTTAACATACTTGGATGTGGTTGTGTGTGTAAATGTCAGAGGACAGAAGACCCTCTAGAGATGCTGTGCCCTCTCGCCAGGCTGCCAGGTTACCTAGTCAGGGTGTGGGTGGGTGGGTGAGAGAGAGAGAGAGAGAGAGAGAGAGAGAGAGAGAGAGAGAGAGAGAGAGAGAGAGAGAGAGAGAGAGAGAGAGAGGAGAGAGAGAGAGAGAGAGAGAGAGAGGAGAGAGAGAGAGAGAGAGAGAGAGAGAGAGAGACAGAGAGAGAGAGAGAGAGAGAGAGAGAGATGCACCTCTTTCACTGCTCTTTCCAACTCCTCAAGAGGAGTTGAAACCCTGTCTGTCTTCCTTTTGTATGTGCGTGGCATGATGGATTTTGGTCTAAAATTAAGAATGTCACATAGTTTTAGTGATCAAATGTAAGAATACAATGTACAATAACAATAAAATACAATAAAGTAATATATAGTAAATAATCATAAATTGGGGTAAGTTGTGCCACTGGCACAACTTACCCCAGGCCCTTTGGCACAAATCACCCCAAGCCCACCATTTTGAAAAAAATGCATCCCCCAGCTTTTTTGAGCTAGCATCATGCTAACTGTATAGACTCATGGCGTAGCTTACTAAAGCACTAAAACATGTGTGAACTGTTTTTAAAGTTGTCTAAATTGTTCAAACACAGCAATCAAAAAACCTTGATCATAGAAATTTTACTTTGGAGGGCAAAAAATTGTTTTTTTAACTTAAATGTGCTTACCTCTCAAGCCATGTGACTCCCTTCTTTGCAGGATGATCGAAATGGATGCCTCTTCAAAAATATGTGGTCACATGACCAACTTCTTCTATGGTTTTCTAGATAACAGGGGTGGCACTACTTGCCCCTTGGCACAAATTACCCCACTCTCCCCTACACTTTAAATTATATTTGAAGCTTATTGTTCATTGTAACATTTAAAAAGGAAATAACAACAGATGGGGATCTGTCTGTATCAACTAATGGCTTGCATGAGTTTAAGTTAAAATTAAAGGAATGAGAATATAGATCATCAAAACACAAAACATTTTTATTTGAGCGGTCATTCATGTATGTATTTGTATATGTTTGGGCTTCTGCCTGTCCTGTGTGGAAGTATATACTTTTTAATATAGAGTGTGGAAGGGGAAAAGGAGACTGCCTCTTAGGCAATCAATTTGTGACACCAGGAACAACAGCAGTTTTTGTGAATCATAAACCAAATGTATAATACGGTAGGGTTATATAATAGGGCTGCAAGAAAGTCATTTGACCCAAAAGTTAAAAAAAAGAAAGCCAATTAATACCCAATGGTGTGTAGAGGTTTAGAAAATGTCTTATTGGCAGCAGTCAATAGAATAATGGAATATGAGACACTGAGTGGATGATGAATACTGTAAACTGAGAGCAAGAAGGCTATGCAAGAAAATTCTTCTAGAGCAAAAGTGTTTTAAGCTTGAATTTAAAGTCTAGTTTGTTGATTTCAGAATTCCTTTGTTAGGGGGATTCATTAGCAGAAATGGAAATACATTCAGTCCGTTGTAATATGCAACCACTCCGCTAGATGTCACTAAATTGCACAGATTGGTGATTAAAGTGATATAATGTACAGAGTGTTGTTTATTTAGAAAGGGGGAGAGAAACATAATAGTTTTTAGGTTTCTTGTTAGTGCAAGCACACTAATGTTTGATGTTAAACCAAGAGGTGATATATGAACGTTAAGCTCACTATCCTACTGTAAAACCATCAAATAAAGTCAACTTTTGAGGGTGTTTACTGAGTTGTTGTGTCTGAATGGTAGAAGTGTTGGCCTAACAAGTTAGGCAAACATATTACATATGGTGTTATTTATTTATTTAACCACGGTTATTTTCCCCTAAATAATTCTCCTTCACAACTAGGAAAAAAATCTAAGCCACCTGTATTTTTAAATTCTACCGCAGCCCTTGTTCTGTTTGTACTGTTCGACCGCAGCCACCCCTGGTGATGTGCCTTTTTATAGTTTTCCTCTAGGCAGCGCCATGTATTGTATGGCTCTGCCTCTAGGTAGCGATGGGGATGAGTGTAGATTGAGCGCCAATATTTTACCAGAATACATTGGTATCATGAAACTATAAAAATTTGAACGACTTCGGTTGTTCCCTTACGACAAGAAATGTCTGCTGCAATGCTGAGGTAAAATAACTGCGATTGTCTAACATCATAACATGTTATAATAGCCTGGTAGCTTAGCAACTAGCTAGCTGTAGCAGCTAACGGCTACATAGCCAGCAATGATAACGATGAGGCTAGTTAAGTACGCAGCTAAATTAAATAACGTATTGCTTGAAGTGGCTTACAAAGCATCTAATGCCATCTGCATTAAACATTTTGGTTTTGTTGACGTCTCAGAGGATACAGTGATGTTATGGTTAGCTATGTGTGTAGCTTTTGCTACAATAACTAACGTAACATTTTAGCCTAGCTCATGATAACGTCATGCAGTTGCTTTTCTGGTTGAAACGTTACACCTACCCTAAACAAATGCAGTCTTATAAAACAGTCTTCTTTAAAGGATGTTTTATTAGACTGCACTTTTAGGCTGTAGTTTGTGTTGGTGTTGCATTTCCATTCGCTCATGTAAGTGTTTCTTATGAAGATCCATAAGACCAGAGTTAGTGCCTTTTCCTTAATTGAAATGTTGCAGTTGTAATAGTAGAGGTGTACTCTTTTAAAACAAGATCTCTGATTAACCAGTTGGCCACATCTAACTATCGAGTTATCATAACCATGATCTTTGTTCCTCTGATTGTAGCACCAAGACCAGCAAGATGAATGTATTGGTCAACAAACTGCACGAGTACTTGGCTAGTTCTCCTGTTGAGGACAGCAATGGCCCACCAACCTCAGAGGATGCTAATGGTGCAGCTTTTGACGTAATCTTATGAGGAAAGTTACTCATCATATTGATATGCTCTATAATCATAATACATAATTGGTTTACAGGACTGACAAACAAGAGATGTTCTGTGGGAAACTCAAAAACTCGTGCTGCAACACAGGTACAATTGTTTGCTTAAACAAGGTACTATATACTGATTGAACATTTCTGAGAGACAACTAAACTAATCAACTGTCTTGCTTTGCAGGCAGGAGTAGACACCAAATACTCAAGGAGGTGAGCTTGCATTTTTATACCATAGAAAGTATATTTAAATGATTATATAATGTATACCCTGCCAGCACAGATATAATATATAATACCAAACAGCCCATATTTAATGCCAATATATTGAATGTAGCTCAATTCTAAAAATGCTGGATATTGAACTTGAAATGTAGACATAAAGAAGCAATAGTCCAATAAATCAGGTTAAAAGATATTGATGATTTTGTCTACATCAGGGAAATATTGTTTTCCCCCAGGATTAAAAGGTTTACTGTTTCCCTGTTATTACAGAAAACCATCTGTTGTCGTAAGACACTCTGGACTGGATGAATCAGGGGACTCGAATGCAAGTGAGGACGTGGAATTACGAGTCAACGCAAATGGTCACCCTGATATCACTAGATTACCAAAAGGTTGGTCTTACAATTTTTTCCTATATAGCTTGCTGGGACGTAAACCGTTTTTTTTCTTTTTGTTGTGCTCTTTCGTAACTATGTGTATTTATTCTTGCTGACAACAAACAAATATTTAGGAGAACCACAATCTGTCATTGTTAATGTGGTTTCTTGTCTTTTACTATCTGTAGGGGGTTAACAGTATTTAGGCCTGTCCCTAGCTTTGTACCCTGTAATTACACGATGGACTCAGTTTGATGTTTTTGGTGCAATGTTTTACATCTACAGGCACTGTACTGGTGAGGCCTGAACCTGTTGACAATGGGAAAGATGACTTCAGGGGTCCTGAGTTTCGCAGCCGGAAACCAGGCGTACTACGGAGAGAGTTTTCGAGGAGACGTGGAGGTCAGTCGCTACTGGTTGATGTTGTCACAACATAACACATCACTTCATTATAAGCCGGGCATCCATTTCTTTGAGAAACAAAGAAGCTGCCCTTGTTGTGGTACTCATGCAATGATTGTCTTTTGACAAAAAACTGTCAAAGTCGAACTAAAAAATCATTTCACTGTGTGTCTAAATGTGGCTTGATGATTATCTTGTTGTGAGAGACATCACTGGATATTTGACTTTCATTCTTACACCCTTTTAATTTAAACCCTTCAAGCTGTTATAATAGCAATTTTGTTGCTCTGTTTTTATAGGTGGCGAACACATGGAAATTGTCAGTTGCACCGCTTGTGGCAGACAAGTTAACCACTTCCAAAGAGATTCCTTCTTCCGACATCCAGTTCTGAACGTTCTTATTTGCAAGGTGAGTCCACTTATTTATACAACAGAATCAAGTCCTTATTTGGGTCCTTTAAGTCATTACTTTTAAGGAGTCTTCTTCATTTTTTGTGTAGCAGCTCATAATTTTTCATGTTATGACGTCATTACTTTCTGCCTGAGTGTTGTTTACATCTGGTGGGTGTCTATAAACTTGCCAATGACTTTATTAAGTTGAATTTGCCAAAAACATTTCTGTATTTGAATGTTATATTTTAAAATAACCACCAGTGATATTTGATTATTGCTTACAAGAATATACATATCAATTATGATTTCTAATTTGCAGTACTATTGTCTTTAATATGCTATTTGTCAAAGCTGTCTGTAACCCTCTTTCGTTACATATTCTTTGTTTTGGTCAGTCTTGCTACAAGTATTACTCAAGTGATGACATCAGTAAGGATGGAGATGGAATGGATGAGCAATGCAGGTATGATTTGTTATATTTCATATTTTTACTGAAGTATTAACATGTTCATTTACTTACCTTTTGCTAAGCTTTTATCAAAAGCATGAATTATGTATTTTTCCTCTTGCAGATGGTGTGCTGAAGGAGGCAACTTGATATGTTGTGACTACTGTAGTAATGCCTTCTGCAAGAAGTGCATTCTAAGAAATTTGGGAAGGAAGGAGCTTTCAGGCATCTTGGAAAGCAAGTGGTACTGCTATGTCTGTAGCCGTGAGCCCCTTTGCGATCTGGTGATGGCCTGTGACAGCGTCCTCGAGAACATGGAGAACATGTGGTTTCAGCAGCGCAAAAGGAACAGGGTAGAGCCGGAAAAATCTCAACTTTACCACATGTTGCCACACTTACAACAAAACATTCCTTTGGATAAATGGGATCACACTGGTATGGATGGGAATGTGGTGTTCAACTATAACACACTGCAGATTTCCAAGGAGATCACCAAAAAAGCTAAACATTTAGTGGACTCAACAAACATCTTAAACCGGACATTTGTCAATTTCATTCATACTGTGACGTCAAACAAAAAAGCACCTACGGTTCGCAAGCTGCACCTGAACTCTTTTTTGTCAGTAGTCAAAGGATTGCGCAAATCACTTGCAGCACTTGAGGATAGCCTTAAGGAAGAATTCAGTGACGTGGATGTCATGAGCTGTTGGGAAAAGTTCTTTAGTGAAGACTTCGATGCACAACCTGTAATAGATTCAGGCACAGAGCCGGAAAGCTCTGAAGAAAGGTGTTTGAGTGTCTTGCGGAAATTGGCAGCCGAACAAACAGAAGATTATGATTCTGACTCCAAAGGCTTCAAGGACAGGAGGACTGCATGTGCCTGCCCCGGTGAAAACATGGATTCAGATTCACGTGAAGCCACACAGAGTGCACAGATGCCTTCTGAAAGCGGGATTAACATGACTAAAAAACTAGTAGTTCAACTTACTCCTGTACCAATGGAGCAGGAGCAATCCTCTTGTGCCCCAAAGAACGAGAAGGACATCAGCATGAGCGACAACACATCAGAGGGAAAGAATGTATCAGAAGATGAAAAACCATGTGTTAAAGGTGTTAAAGCTGACAGCAAGATAAGCAACAACATCTCTATTGCATCTCCACACCCAGAAGAACAACATGGCAATAGACGTTCTCCCCGCTTGAAGACGACACCTTTGCGACGACCAAGTGGCGTCAAGTCCAAAGAGTCTCTTTCAGCAGCAGACAGTGACAGTGATTCTGACCCTGAGGAAACCTCCAGCCAAACACCTGCCAAAAACACTGAAGAACCAAGTCTGAGCCGAGCAAGAGACGACTCTGACTCCGATGAAGTCCCTGTAGCTCTGCTTGAGCGAGCTGCTATGACACAAAGCTCAGATGAACCCCAGAGCGATGAGAACGGTGGAAAAGCATCAAATAAGGTGGCCAAGAAATGTCTCTTTTGGCTAACAAAGAACTCCCCGCTCTCCCCGGAGAGCATGCGTCGAAAACGCAAGATGCTAGACCGCTCCTCAGAATCAGACTCGAGTAATAGAATAACTAAATCACGAAGAGAAAGCGGGATAGATTCCTCTAGCGATGATCAAGACTCGCAGAAGAAGATGCAACACTTGAATACTTTGAGGCCAATTGGGAAGTCTCCCCTCGTCAAAAGAGATAATGAAAAATCGCCTAAAAAGCCAGTTGGGATACAGGCTGGAAAATCTAAGGCTAAATCCCGCCAGAAAGCAATGGAGTCCTCCTCCTCATCAAGCGAACATGGAGATGATGACGAAGAGACCGGGAGTGAAGGAAGTGATCAGAAGATGAAGCGAATCACTGAAGATGTGGCCTTACTGGGGGCAGCAGCATTCCACCAATCGTCTGGTGAGTCCTATAATACATATATTATTTAAATATACAGTATGTCTTGTAAATAGTTGTTTGCCCAGTTTCTGTTGGAAAGCTAATGTTTAATGAATGTTTCTTGTAGGAGACGACGAGGAGCACTCTGGGCCCTCGTGGGCAGCAGAAGATGATGATGATCCAGAAAATAGGTATGGTTCAAAAAGCCAGGATGTGGAGTTTGTAAAACACCCTAGTTGTGAAAGGCAGACAACATTAATACCCGAACACTGTGCAAAAGCTAGCAACACCCAGGTCATTAAGACTGAGTTGCAGCCTATTCAAACAAGACCAAAACGTAGCTGCAGCCGAATCCCAGCCTTCAAATACACACGCTAGAGGTACACTGTGAACGTCATGACCCATTTTGTGATGCACTGAAACTGAACCGGCCTGGAACAATCTTGTGAATGATGAGTAACGTACTCTGCTTGTCTACTTTATTTGAACTTGAATTGTATTGCATTTTTAATATAGATCATGCAAAGAATTCTTATCTATGTTTAATTTGATGTGCAATGATACGACTGTAAATGCTTAAGATGCATTTACCTACATTTCTATAATAAGTATTACATCTCACACCACCGTGTTTACTTTTCACGGCATACTAGACTTAAACAAAAGGGGAAACCTTGCCTTTGGCGCACCTTGCCTTTTTGAAGAGGAATGAGCTGACAGCTCAACCTGTTATGATGACGGTATTTAAATATATATTTTCAAAAGTTTTACCTCCAGTCGATTCTTCCGTGTCATTACAGAATGCACAAAGAACTGTACTCCATTGAGGAGCAATTTTAGATAAATTGTTATTCACTGGTGAAGTGTTACGTTTGACACATTTGACAGATTATCTGCACATATTTAACCAAAGAAAAAAAGTAAATTTACAATTTATTTTAGTATAACACTTTCATTCTTCTCCTTGAAACACATATTTTTGATTGTATTTTTTGTAAGGAATCCTTGATGGATCAGAGATATCATTTGTTAATTATGATGTCTGGATCTTTTTGTTAAGATGGCAAAAGTATTGTTGTTAAGATATCTGAATATGTACCTGGCTTTGTAAATGCACTTCAAGCTTTTCTCACAAAAGTTCAATTGCCGTCCTGTTAAAGCCTGTTTATTCCAGCCAAAAATATACTTTGTCATTCTTATATCACACATTGTTTGAGCTTCACTTATTTCATGGATGGGCTTGTAATTATTGCCAGTGTTGAAACACAAGTCAGTCTTATGTATTACTTAGTGTTCATTGAGACAATAATGGTGGTATCATGAACTCCTGGAAATCTCAGGATACATTATGGAGCTGCTTTCACTGTCAAGCAAACACAAGCATTGGGGAACATTTCTCTCTAGAAGATATTTATGGTAATAAACACCCAAAGGCTGACACAAAACACAATAAACAATTATTATTACTTTTTACAATATAATATAAATCCTTTTACACACCAACATGTTGACTGGCTTTCCTAATTGGATTGTTAAATAGTGCTTTGCGGGGGGGTTTTAGGGAATCAACATCAAAGCTCTGGTATACACTTAATCATGATGAGTAGTACATCTTATTCTGACGTAATGCTCCTGGTATGCCTCTTTTCTTTTGAAACTAGATCACATATGACACTGGAGTCGATAATGCGTAGTAACAAGTACTTTTGCGTATATGTAATATTCTATAGCAGTTCTCAAAGGGCTGATTTTTCAGAGCCTGTGTCTTTGTGTATCTCTGACGGTGCTGCTTTGATAGATTCTCTTGGGTAGGCTTACTCAAATAACAAAGGCATCTTTCTCCACTACTTGACCTCGAGTAGTATTTATCTGCTGAGGTTCCTAGATATCCGTTGGATACTTTCTTACATCACCCTAGCAGAATGGAGGTCGAAGAAATTGTATTATTGCTGCTTAAGGCCAATCAGTGTGGAGATATTGGCGTCGAAATTGGAGAACATGCGACACACTCGCGCTAGAAAGATGCATTCATAAGACGATGAAGAAAATCCACTGCCACATGTATTCTGAAATAACATTTTGTTATTCCGTTTTTTATTGAAATACATCCCCGTTCTGAGGAATGACTTTTTAAAAACTTCTTCTGGTTAATTACAATAATTTCGAGCTGTCATCAGTGTTCCCCCACTTTCTATACACAGAGTATACATTACTGCTGACCATTTTTCTAAAGCGTACAGTAGCTTTTCAACTGAAAAATCATTTATTACCGTATTTTTAGTTACAGAGATTTAAAACCTTACGAGTGACTATCGCGTTTTTCTGAAGCATTACTGATAAAAAACGATTTGTTAAAAGAACTTGCGGTCAGAGCTTTTAAATGTAAATGGAACGTTGTATATCTGAGAATTGAGAGTGGGCTGTGAAACAACAACTATTGTAATGCAAACAGGGACCAAATTCACATTGTGCCTGTAATGACATCAATGTTTGTTTCTTATGTTTTTTCCAGGTCGGATTTCCTGACAGCACAGCAGTGATTGCAGTGCTGTTAGGCAACAATCGCTTAAATCTGGGATATTGTAGCCTCCGATAGGCAAGAACCCGTTATTTAATTTTTTTCAATAAAGTGTGTTTTCACCTGTAGTGATAACACGACTTTATCCTAAAAAGAAATGGTCAGCAGAAATGTAAAGTTTACATTGTTTGTAGTTAGTGGGTTAAACGTGAAAAGTACTGTGTTCCATTGTAATCCCCCCCAGCATGCGTTTACCAATGACCATGATGTCAAATTCACATGTGGCAGTGTGTTCATTTTCCTCAGTGTTTTTCTTGTCGTCCTTTTTCCCAGAAGCATGTTAAATGAGGTACAGGGCTCTGGCCTGTTACTGCTACTGTCGTCTGGCTTTCTTATTCTGTAATACACCTTTTACAATATACTCTCGTTGGAAATGTTTCCGCCAATTGAACATTTTTCCGCCAATTGAACATTTTATTCATCCTTTCTCAAGTGACCTGCATGGACACTCCACTTGGAGATCAGTGCGCGTAATGCAGGTAGCTTGGTGATAACGGGTCAATGGGGACAGACCATTTTCTGGACATTGGATGATTTGGAGCTTGTGCTTTAGGCTGTTTGACTCTAATGTGTTTGCGCGTTAAAAGGGTTTTAAGAGGAACTCATCACATATTATGAGTGGTGAAAACACAATATGGCATTAAACGCATAAACCTTTCACATTTTTAAAACATCCTTATCAGGAACTGTATCGGATCATTGGTAATAATGCTTGACTGCAGTATTATAAGTGGTTGAAATTACATTTCATTACGAGTAAACTTTTATGTTCTTTGTTAGTATCCGATATCCTACATTTTCTTTGTTTGTCCCAAACAGAATATTAACTCTCTTGGGTTCAAAACGATTTTTAACTCACAATTTGATTAACAAGATATCAATGTATTTACTATTTCACATGAAAAAAAGTGTCAGACTCAAGCAAGCAAAAACATTGTAGAAAATCTCTCCCCTTTCCTCAAAATAAAATAAACCAAGACTGTCTTTTTCTGTGAAGAGTACTTGTAATAAATTATTTCTCTTGAAAATGTCTCTGTATCAGTTTTCTTTTTTTCCTGCTGTCCTGAATGTTTATCTTCCAGTGTTGTGGCACGTTCTCTGGCTCATTTCAAGACTATTATTTACTTATAATGTAGATTGAATCAAGGTCACTGCCCAGATTCAACCTGTGATTAGTTTATGAACTATACGACTTTTTCATTCTAAAGATATCTTATAAGGGTATTATTGAAATCAAACTTAGATATGATTTTGTCTAACAATAAAGTATAACTATATCTAGCTCAAGATTGAACTTCAGGTACCTTCTCCTTCTTTTCTACTTTTGAAAGAATCGCAAAGAAAATGCTTTTGGCCCAAATCAAAGCCAACTACTCCTCGGGCGATGATATCTCTTCAGACGAGGAGACGCAGGAGACATCTGACTCGGAGGATGATCAGGCGGTCAAAAAAGGCAATAAGGATAATAAAACAGATGAAGGTAAGTCGGTTTTTTGAAGTAGCACATTTTTTGCTTCCTGTCCGTGCATCTTTTTCATAAGCACATGTATTCCTATCCTATTTCAGTCGTATTGATTTATAGTGGAATTACATTTTTCTTTCCAAACAAAGTGGTGACGATTGTAAAGATGGCTCTTGTTGATTAATAAAAGGGAAATAATAGTTGATATCTCTGCTGCAGGGGAAGACTTTGCTACCGAATCTTCTGACGCCATGTCTGATGGGCCCACCTCCAAGCACCATCTGCTCCGCCACGGACTGACCTTGGATGACGGAGCGCCTGTTGATAAGGCTGGGGCAGAGAGTGAAGCAGGAGAGCCAAAGAGCAAGCAAAAAGCCAGCAGAAAACTCCTAAACTGTAAGTCTGACATTAGAAACGTAGCTGTCTGAACAGGAACTTCATACTTTGCTCTAACATCTGATATCGATGTCTGTCAAGCTGATAGTGAAAGTGATACTGAGAGCAACGAGTCGGAGCCGGAGGACGCCGGGATGAGCGAGGAGCTGAGTCTGTCAGAGAACGAGGACGGTGACGACAAACTCAAAGGGTACATACGTTTCAGCTCCCATTGATACAAAGTGTAGCTCAAGGAGAGTGGTCAAGATCTTTGTATAACGTATTTAAGTCAACAGGCGTAGAATGAATCTATTTCAAAATAATAATATTGCCAACGAACATACACGACCAAGAAAAATACAATATACAATAAAAAGAGAAAACATTTGAACACTACATTGGAACTCAGAGAGGAAGTAATTCATTATCGACAAGCAATATTAATAATACTAATCCTAAAATAATAGTCATTAGATATGAGATAAATATTATAATATAGATAATTTACAGTAATGTATGGAAGCCTGTTTGCGCCACAGGAAAAAAGAAATCTAAAAAATCCTGTAAGTCATTATAATGACTTAGTTATCTCATTATATTGACTTACTATCTCATTATATTGACTTAGCTATCTCATTATATTGACTTAGCTATCTCATTATATTGACTTAGTTATCTCATTATAATGACTTACTATCATATAAGAGCAATTTTTAAATGAGCTTTCATCCCTTTACACCAAAGCAACAATAGCAAGTGTGTGGGACACACTTAGCTGAACTAATGGATACTATAATTGAAGACTACTTTAGACGCGGATTCACAAATAAGGACATTTTTGTGGTTTTGGAGGAATCACACAATATTAAACTAAGCCTACGGACAATACAGAGGAAGCTACAAAAGAACGAGATAGTAAGTCAATATAATGAGATAGCTAAGTCAATATAATGAGATCGTAAGTCAATATAATGAGATAACAAAGTCATTATAATGACTTACAGGATTTTTTTTTTCCTGTGGCACAAACAGGCTTCCATAGTAATGCCATACATTTTAATGCTTTTTTAAAAAAAAAAACATTTGCACATGTTGCATATAATATTATGTTCTCACGTATTGTACATTTTGAAATTCAAATTAGAATTATGGTAAAAATTATATTTCAGATTGTACATGTTTACCCCTAGTGCACACCAACTAAGCAAGTTTAATGCATATTCCTGTTATAATAGCCAAGAGCATTAACAACCAAAATATGATGACACAAGCTTTAAAATCAACACAATTTAACATTTAAATTACAAATCTCACTTCTTTTAGAGCACATTTTAAGCCGAATATTTAAATTCATGTGGCTGTGTAAAAGTTACGTACATTTGAATTCCTAATCCTCTTCTCTTTCCATCTCTAGAGGATCCAGTCAAAGGAAGGAGAGGCCTCATGAGAAGCAGGCAGTGCCCTGCATTTGGTTATCTGACTCCAACAGTGAAAAGGTAGCAGTTGACCTATAACTACGTTTATTATTCTTAAACTCCAGAGTTGTGTCTAACAGTCACATCTTTTGTTCTATACTTCTGTTTTTTTCAGAGTGATAAAGAGGATGCAGGGGAGGAGAACAGCGACAGTAAAGGCACCCCCAAAGGACGCAAAAAGATTCGCAAAATCATCGATGATATGAATCTCCGCACTGAGACGCTGGAAGCCCTCAGAGAGGAAGAGGAGAGACGCAAACGTTTGGCAGAAAGGGAACAACAGATGAAGGACAGGAGAACGGTACTGAACACACAGCAGACCATTAAACTGCACTCTGTTAATGACCAATGGCTCTTTACAGCAGTTCATTTCTGCAGCAGGGCTTGCTCATTAGTCCCTGTTGATAAATGACATTTAGCTCAGTACAGAGCATTTATGTTGCTGAAATGATCACTTTTACAGGATGTTTTATAGGTGTTGGGGTTTTCCTAAGATGAAATGCTGAATGTCATCATTGTATTTCAGATAACTATCCCAGATGATGATGATATGCCGTGTCCCATCACCATCAAGCTGATCCTGGATCAGGACAAGGAGAACAAAAATCCTCTTGTTCAGGTGCACAGGAACCTGGTGACGAGCCTGAAGCCTCACCAGGTGGATGGTTAGTTTGTGCTCTTTTCACTCGTACTGAGGAGGACAAGGTTTACTATTATGCACATGCATGCTGACAGCAATAACAGCATTAGATTAATACAGTTGAGTCTGATGCTATTTGCACTCGGGTGACTAAAGTGAACAATGCTTTTGGCATGAGGGGTTTATATAGCCACAACTGTTAAAAACGCCATTTTTAATAGTAACATTGGAATTATCAACCTTGAAATCTTCGAGTTTTTCTTTTTCTCACATGACTCCATGGTGTACAAAAAGTCCCAAAATGCTAAAAAAAGATCTAGATGAATTGAAGTAAACAGATACTATTCACATGTTTTTGGACTCTTTGTTCAGTGCTATGCCATGTGAAAAACAACCCATTATCTTAAAGAATTCACATGGTTGACACCAATGGTTGTTTTGGGGATTGAGAATACCTTTTTAATGCTGATAAATATTGTGATTAACAATTTTTAGTGTCCCATTTATGTGTTAAGACAAAACATGCTAACTGTGATCTCTTTACTCTCCAACCAAAGGCGTCCAGTTCATTTGGGACAGTTGTTGTGAGTCTGTGAAGAAGGCCAACTCTTCTCCTGGATCTGGCTGCATACTGGCACACTGCATGGGCCTTGGAAAAAGTCTGCAGGTGAAGAAATACACACCCCCAATATTCTTCTTTGCTTTGACTTATCCAAGACAAATTACATATTGAATTACTTTAGGTATTGATTATAATTGTAGTTTGCTGCTGTTACATCACCTTACATCACACACAAGTATTCTGTATTGACTGTGGTAAGTTGTCCATGCTTCATATTCATACCTGTGTTATTTTACAGACGGTAGCCTTCCTCCACACGGTGCTGCTGTCGGAGAACCTAAGATTCAGAACGGCCCTGGTCGTTTGTCCGCTCAATACCATCCTCAACTGGGTCAACGAGTTCAGTAAATGGCAAAAAAACTTGGGACAGGATAAATTAAAGGTATGCAAAAAATTAAATGGGCAATCCTAAATGTTGTGCTTGAGACATTTTATGCTTCACACTTGTAAAAATGTTACAGGTCACAGAACTGACGACAGTAAAGCATCCCCCAGAGCGAATCAGGGTTCTGCAGAGGTGGATGAGAGAGGGAGGCGTGATGATAATGGGCTATGAGATGTACCGCAACCTGTCTCTAACCAAGAAAGCTGACGAGGAGAGCAGGAAGCAGATAAAGAGCCTACTGGTGGATCCAGGTAGCGTGTTATTCAGTTATTCTTGTTTATGGGTCATTGCTTTTCTCATTGAAGCTGTTGAATCTGTAGCTTTTTTTGTCCTGTGTTGTCTTTTTATACAGGTCCGGACTTTGTGGTCTGTGACGAGGGACACATCTTGCGCAATGAAACTTCTAATATCTCCAAATCTATGAACGCCATCAAGACCCGACGGAGAGTGGTGCTAACTGGCACTCCACTACAAAACAACCTGAATGAGTGTAAGTCTGCACAACTGCATCAAATTACATAATGCCATACTTTCACAATATGATTGAAGGTATATTTTATCTATGATAATGGGGTTAGTTGTTGAAGTCGCCCGCTTTCTAATAGAATTTGAAGTCATGTGCAATTTCAATGTAGTTGGGTCATCTCCAGCAAATCCGTGACCGTGAAGAGCGGAGGTTCGTTTCTCAGTGGATTTGTCTTCATCAAAAAATGAGCCCCCATGCCCCTGGCAAAAATGCAGGCAACATTTTTTAGAGCCCTAAATCCAAAATGGCTGCCATCACCGTAGGTTGAAAATGAGCTTTTCAATTATTTGTTCAATACATGGTTTCTGGTACTTTATGGGTCGAGGAATTCATATTTGATGTTTTGATGATTTGACCTATTTTTGACCTTCAAATCCAAGATGGCCGCCGATTTTTCCCCAAAGGTCGATTTAATGCCTTTTCCTAAAATGGTATCATTAGTATAAAGTATATATATACATATAAAGTACCAACAAGGCTACTTCCTAAATTCATCACCCTGAATTTAGGACATTCATAAACTAAACCTGCAGTACTTGTGAGGAAATTAGGTGTAGGCCTCACATTTTGACGGATATTTTGTTTCGAAAATCTTCCTATTGATACACAATATTTTATTCCCAACAGACCACTGCATGGTGAATTTCATCAAGAAGAATCTGCTGGGCTCACTGGGCGAATTCAGAAACCGCTTCATCAACCCCATACAGAACGGCCAGTGTGCGGACTCCACGTCACGAGACGTCCGCATCATGAAGAAGCGAGCGCACGTGCTTCATGCAATGTTGGCTGGATGTGTGCAGGTAAAAAAAGAAATACAGAAACTTGCACACTGTCTGTATATGTACACATTCAGTTTTGCTCAGTTTTCCAGCTCTCACAACGTGTTAATCTTTTTTTTTCAGAGAAGAGATTACTCGGAGTTGACTCAGTTTCTGCCTCCCAAACACGAGTACGTGCTGGCTGTGAGGCTCTCCCCACATCAGTACAGGTTGTACCGCTACTACCTCGACAACATCACTGGTGAGAATCTGTCGCTACATTTTAACTCGATCAGGGATTACAGCTCAAGAAAAATCGAATTGTGAACATTGGAATTATGTTTGTTTTTCCAGCTATGGGTTCCTCGAGGAACAGAGTGAATGTGAAGGTGGGAGCAAATCTGTTCAAGGACTTTCAGGTGCTCAGCCGCATCTGGACCCACCCCTGGTGCCTTCAGCTGAACTACATCAGCAAAAGAAAGAAGGTTAAAAAAAATCACTCATGTCGTGTCAAATAATGTTAAGGGGTTAAAATCTTAATAAACTGGATTTTCATTACAGAAAGATCTTCTAAGTAAGAATACAAATAAATCAGCAGAACAGCGGAGAAATGAAGAGCGTGCTGTGGCTGAGAGGTAAGACTACGCATGCTTTAACAAAGTATTATCACATATCTGGTTTATGAACGTCTTTAGATATTGTGACTGATTGTGATTATGTGCCTTTTAAAGCCATGCTCAGTCGCAAATGATTTACTGATGTAAATCTAAATTGATAAATAAGCAAAAGCTTCCAAAAAAAAGATATGTAGTCAGACAATGCATCAACTTAAAACCAAAATGTGAAAGGAAATCATTTGGGACCTTTTGAAGTGTGCTGCTTTGCTTAAACAGCAGCTGTGAAGTTTATTTAATGATTTACCTTAATACACAATGTTTGCCTGTTGTAGTGCACTCAGAGCGATCAAAGGGCCAGCAGGGAACAGCGAGGCCGGCCCTACAGCGGGTGTTGCTGGTGTGTCCACAACTGCTCCAGCACTGGAAGGTAAAAAAGCTAAAAAATGTTTTACACAAGTACTCCACCCTTGTGGCTTTCACACTAATATATTTTTCTTCTGTCGCAACCATCAGCTCGAGGGGGTCCGACGCAAGATGATGTATGGTTCAAAGGCATGGTGACTGAAGAGGACGCTGAAATCATGGAGCTCTCGGGGAAGATGGTGCTCTTGTTTGAGATCCTCAGAATGGCTGAAGACCTCGGGGATAAAGTGTACGTGTCTTTTCTAATTTAAAGCTAATTCATCTCCGAAATAACTGTATCTAGACTGCTCCTCATAACTAACCAAACCCATTTCTTGAATCTTTAGGCTTGTTTTCAGTCAGTCATTGATCTCGTTGGGCCTTATTGAGGACTTCCTGAAAAATTCTCACAATGCCAGAAACTCATCAGCATTCAAAGGTATTCTGTTTATGTCAAAAAATGTATATTTATTTAGGAAACGTCCTTCTTGATGGTACTTAACCTTTATTCCGTTCTTCATTGTTCTCACAGCGGGCAACTGGATTAAAAACATTGATTACTATCGTCTTGACGGTTCCACCAATGTTTTGTCAAGGAAGAAATGGGCTGATAAGTTCAATAATGACACCAATGATCGGTACAGATTATCCCACTGTTATTACAATCTTTTCTTTATTGATTACACTTAAATAAGAATATTTAAAAAGTTTCTCTTCTGATTGTATTTTATTGATATTTATTTCAGTGGCCGATTGTTTCTCATTTCAACGAGAGCCGGCTCACTTGGTATCAACCTCGTCGCTGCGAACCGGGTCATCATCTTCGACGCCTCATGGAATCCCTCGTATGACATACAGAGCATTTACAGGGTGTACCGCTTCGGTCAGCTCAAACAGGTGTTTGTGTACCGCTTCCTGGCTCAGGTAGGCTCGCTGGTCTTTGTTTAAATATAAAAGTTAAGGTTTTGATAAACGTAGGAGGACATTTGTTTAGTCTAGTTATTAACTGGTGTGACTATTTAACAAAGTCACTGCAACATTTCAAATACATTTACTGTCAACCCTGAATTACTGAAGGAATGCTTCATTTGAGTTTTGCCTCATGTTGTTTCCTTTTTCTAATTTTCCATTGTTTTTCCCTCTTCTTTAAAGGTTATATTATACAAGTTTTACAAAGCATACATTTAGCCAGGACTACAGCTATCACCTGATAACAAAAAATAACCAAGTTAGAGCAGCATTGAATGTTTTTGGGTCCAAATGTTTAGTGTCTTGAGCTGAACTGTCAGATACATTTAGGGATCATATGAGCAAAGTGCTACATACATTTGTTAAATGTGTGTAGCACAAAGTTCTTACTTTGACCTTATATTTGCGTTAATTGAGAAATGCAGGAACGGTTCATGTTTTTTGCGATCACTGCTCAAAGCAATGTCTTATGGACACAGATCTCTTAGAGCTACTGTGTTTCACTTCCTGAAACCCTTTCAGTCCCGTTAATGATGACGGTCATTTTATCTTCAGGGCACCATGGAGGAGAAGATCTATGATCGTCAGGTGACCAAGCAGTCTTTGTCCTATCGAGTGGTGGATCAGCAGCAGATCGAGAGGCACTACACTCTGTTTGAACTGACTGAACTTTACACATTCGAGCCGGACCTGCTGGACCACCCAAACTCTAAAAAAAGCAAAAGAAGCACCTCTGTTTTGCCAAAGGTGACTGTTTTAATTTCAGGTTCTGTAAGCTAAAATCATACTCAGCTGTCTGACAATGGCGTACAGGATGAATGTGTAGTATTGAGTGACTTTTTGTGTCTGATTCTCAGGATAAGGTCCTGACACAGCTGTTACAAACCTCTAAAGACCACATAGTGTCCTTCCACGAGCATGAATCTCTGCTGGACCATAAGCAAGATGAGGAGCTCAGTGAGGCAGAACGCAAAGATGCGTGGGCCGAGTACGAGGCCGAGGTAAAGAGCAACTCACTGCAAAGCATTACATATCCTGTCCTGGGCTCTGTTTAGTGAAACTGAATGCGCTTGTCTATGGGGTTCTTTACATTAAAAACTGTGTGCTGATTATATGTATATCTGTCTTCCAGTCTTCCAACCCTGCTGCCACCATCACCCAGGACACCCTGCATGCGAAGACCAATGAACAGCTAGTGGTATACTTAAAGATAAAAGGCTTTTCTTAGAAGTGCTGCCGATGGTGTTTGTGTTTCATACAACACATGACATTTATAACTGTCTCCACAGGAGTTGCTGAACAAGACCAGAGCGGATACAAATGCGACATTCCTGTCCCTTCAGAAAATGACTACTCACACTGTGGAGGACTACATGTTACGAGTTGTGAGTGAATTTAAGGTCTCATTAATAAGGGGATTTAAAATGAGGGTCCATTTCTTTCAAAGTAACTACACTGCTCAAAGACATTTTTAACGAACACTTTGAAAACACATCAGATCTCAATGGGAAAATAAATCATGCTGGATATCTATACTGATATGGACTGGGTAATGTGTTAGGAACGAAAGAATGCCACATCATTTGATGGACATGAAAATGATCAACCTACAGAGGGCTGAATTCAAAGACACTCCACAAATCAAAGTGGAAAATTGATGCGGCAGGCTAGTAATTCCATTGCAAAAACTCTAAATGGACCAGGGCATCCCTGAGCTCCTGGACAGTCTCAGGTGCAATCTGGCGGCTTCGGATTGACCGAAACGTAATGTCCCAGAGGCGTTCTATTGGATTTAGGTCAGGTATCAATTCCTTCCTCCTCCAAGAAATTCCTGCATACTCTCGCCACATGAGGCCGGGCATTGTCGTGCACCAGAAGGAACCCAGGACTCACTGCACCAGCATAGGGTCTGACAATTGTTCCAAGGATCCTGATACCTAATGGCAGTCAGGGTGCTGTTGTCTAGCCTGTAGAGGTCTGTGCGTCCCTCCATGGATAGACCATCACTGAACCACCACCAAACTGGTTATGCTAAACGATATTACAGGCATCATAAAGTTCTCCACGGCTTCTCCAGACCCTTTCACGTCTGTCACGTGCTCAGGGGGAACCAGCTCTCATCTGTGAAAAGCACAGGGCGCCTGTCAATTCTGGGGTTCTATGGCAAATGCCAATTGAGCTCCACGTCGGGCCCCCAGGCCATCCTCATGAAGTCTGTTTCTGATTGTTCGGACACATTCACACCAGGTCATTTTGTAGGACTCATCCTGTTCCTCCTTGCACAAAGAAGCAGATACCGGTCCTGCTGATGGGTTGAGGAGCTTCTACGGCCCTGTCCAGCTCTCCTACAGTACCTGCCTGTCTCCTGGAATCTATTCCATACGCTTCAGACTGTGCTGGGTGACACAGCAAACCTTCTGGCAATGTCACATATTGCTGTGCAACCTCTGTAGGGTCAAGGTCTCGCCTCATGCTAGCAGTAGTGACACTAACCCTAGCGGCTAGCCAAATGCAAAACTAGTGGAAAACAGTCAGAAAAGATGAGGAAGTGGCCTCCACCTGGAAAACCATTCCTGTTGTGGGGGTTGTCTCATTGTTGCCCCTCTAGTGCACCTGTTGTTCATTTAATTAACACCAAAGCAGCTGAAACTGATTAACAACCCCCTCTTCTGCTTAACTGACCAGAACAATATCCCAGAAGTGTAATTGACTTAATGCTATACTCTGATTAAAAAGTGTTCCATTAATGTTTTTGAGCAGTGTAGTAACCTGGTGTGTCTACATTTTATCCTCCAAAAAACGTAAAGATGAAAACAAAGATAACTAAAGCTGGGATTTATTCATATTAAATACAATTGTTTTACTAACAAGTACTAATACAAATAGTAGAGCATGGAAAAAGCACGGATTTGGATCCACTCCAAAATGTAATGGGTTCTTCCTTGGCCCAAGATACACCATTTCAACAAGCCTCATGACATTAAGGGCAGTTGTTGGTTGGTCATCCTGCTGACAGACAGACAAAGCCTGGTTGAGGTGCTTAAGGATTTAAAATGTAGAGCTACAAATAATCTATGATTTTGATCATTTTGTATACTATTCTGGTATATACTGTATAGATAATTGTGTCTTTCTATTGTCATAATCACCAATGGTAGAAGTAGATACATAACCACTTTTATAGTTTAGCATCTTTGTAGTGAAAACATGTTATTCAGATTTTCCAAAAGAAAATTGGCAAACCATTCTCAAATGTGCTAATCCCACAAACATAATACAACTCTCCTTACATCCCCAAAACATTACTTTGCAGATAGCCAGGGATACACATGGCTCACAATACCAACTGTATGCTACAGTTCAGATAGGAAAGTTCGTGTGTGTGTGTGTGTGTAGTAACCATTTATTTGCGATGTTTCAGCGGCAGCAGTATCACGAGCTGCCGGAGGCTGAGATTAGGACCAAAGCTCAGAATTGGAAAGTGTTTGACGAGAAGGAGCGGGAACGTAGACAGGCCTTGTATCAGGACATTCTCACACATCAGCAGACAGTAAGTCACTTCTACATGGGAGCTCATGTCTTATATGTACCAACAGCCATTCTCACGTTTCCATTACATCCCCCCCAGCTCACACTCAGCATCACGGACATCCTGAAAAGACGCAGGATGCAAGAGATACAGGCGGCCGCGACCACTGTTACCCAGCCGGGACACACTTGAACAAGCAAGTCATGTTTTAATAGGAAAGACAATTATGCCTTTGCTCTTCATCATTGCTCAACCAGTGAGTTGAATGATTGTTTAACACAAAATCTGAGTGCACTGACATTCCCATATCATTAAAACAGCATAGTATCAGATGTTATTGAAACATTTCTGTTCCTTTTGTCAATAATGTTCAGGTTCATTTTGTAACACTTTGAGCACTTTAACTGCAGGATATGATATTAGGCTCTATGAATGTCTTTTAAAATTTGCAAATTAACTAGTGCCTATTTCAGCCACTGAGGATCAGTTTGATGGTTACACTCACAGTAGATGCCTTCAAATAAACCTTGTTTTGTTATTGAACTGCAGTTGTGATTATTCCTTAATAAATGAACAAAAGATTAGAAATTAGATATTTTAGTCCATGTGTATGAATTTCCCTTTTTAATCTGGTAGAGGAGATTTAGGTGTAAATAGTGAGAATATCTGTTCACGGTTTTTTAAAGCTTTTAAAAAGACTGATTCAGCTGTGAATTAGTCATGTAGAACTTGATCTTTACAAAATGTACATCCTCTGAAATCGTATGCATATTTTGTTCCTTTATATCTTAAATGTAAGTGTGTGCTGCTATCACTTCCTTCATGACATTAAGCAACAACAGTCTGATTCTCCTGGTAGAACGGGAGCAGCTGTTCAGCCACTGAGCGTGTTCCCCTGAGAGGACGGCTCCATGCCTGCATGTTTATTTGTTAATTAATGAAAGCAAGCCAGCTGCAGTGGTGAAATCCCTTCAAGGTTTCCCTCGGGCTCCACTTCACCTGTGCTAAAACTAACCAGTGCAAATGGAAGCAAAAAACAAAACGGGATATGTTTCTTATCAATTATATTTTTAGAAGGTATAAAAGACATTAGGCTGGGGGAAAATAGTTAGTCTTTGAAAAACTTACAACAGTTGATACAAAATTTGGCAATTTCACGAGCATAGAAAAGGAGTCTGTGTTCTCACACTTGGCAGGTAAGTATTGTTCCCTTACACCAATGTTACCAAAGATTCATATGTTTTATGGAAAATTGGGTCTACTTTCGGCCACACAGAATAGAAAATGTAACATTTTAATGCACTACGTGGATAAAGGTTGGATCACTGGTAATGTTGAGTTCAAGGTCTAGCAGGAAATAGATGTAACAACATACGGATATAAAATGCAGAATTAGGCTGCAATGACATTTAACCACAAAATCACAGCAGTCCATCGTAGGTTCAACACTCTATGGTTAACATGTTAAACACATTCGCACTTATTCACATTTTATTTAAAATAGCTGCTTGGTTCAAATGTGTTTAGAAATGATGACACATTTAAAGCTCTCCATCGACCAAAAAAGGAAAGAAAACATCGACAGTGAGTACGGACGAAAATAAATTACTTAAGGACTGCCAAACATTCACATCCATATAACTAGTGTTGGTCAGGTGTTGAGAAAGAAAGGATAACGATACACTGAGACATCTTTAAGTTAATTTATAAAAACTTGGTATATTAAAAAAAATAAGAGTTCAGTCAACAGAGTAGTCCTTCACAGTGATGGCTGCAGCTGTCCTGAAGTCCTGGATCTGAGCTTCTGGGTTTTAGTCTCTTACATGAGCAGTGGTCTCATACTCAGTCTTTTCACGGTAGTACAAATAAATAAAGATGGCCTGAGCTCCACATTGTGCAGTTTTCAGATATACCATGCTGTGTTGTTAGTGTCCCGTGTCCAGGTCCCTCATGTACTCCTGCAGGGCCAGCAGCCGGGCATCGATGTCCGACAGCTCAGCTCCTGTATCTATGGAGCTCTCTGGGGTGGGAAACAGAAATGGTATTATAGGATTAACCTTTTTTTATAGGGTTATTGCAGAAAAATGTTAAAAGACGTGGACTAATTACCTTTGTCTTTCATTCTGTGGGTTGGAGTACTGCATAATTGCTTCCTGGTCGAAATGCCTCCTCTAGACTAGAAACCGATAAACCGCACATTAAAAAGGAGGCGCCATCATTCTGTATTCTTTGTCCGAAAAACCCAAAACGTATCAATGTATTCTAGGTGGTGGACTTAACTAACAATCATCGTCTGTTTAACCAAAGCTTTAAATATGTAGCTTTGTGTAAAATATCCATTGTTGATAAAAAACAAGGATTAAAACACACATCTTGCACTGTGTTACATGTTCCTATATTATGATTAACATTTTGAGTATCCAATTTATACCAGCCGGCAGAATTAAATACGCACTGGTGTCAAACATGTTCAAATGTACAGATGAAAATTATCCCATACAAAAAGATGCAACTCACTGTTATTTAAAAAAAAAATGATGTTGCTTAAGTTAAGACATAAGTGCCTGAATGTTTTAAGGAAATTAATAAAGTAAGGTAACTATTTATTTGCAACTACTTAAAAAAAATCTTCAGGAAGAACATATAGGGTTGGAGATATGACACCTTGGAGTCGGACAGTATTTAGAGTTGTTGATTTGGTCTTTTTTGAGGGATTTGTTGACAGTATATAAATATATATACCATATTTTACATACAAATGATAGCGCAGTAATAACAGTTAACTAGAGGTACATTTATAACCAGGCCACTCACCACACTGGGTCCGTTGTAGGTCTGTTTTCTTCCTCTGCAAACATAGAAAAACAGACATTTAAATACCCAGTTAAAACAACAGATCATTTACAGAAGCTATCCAGATTTAATGTCTTCACCTGAACAGATTTTTGGACATTTCTTCCATATCCACTAAGGAGCTTTCAGAGGAGTTCCTGCTCCCTCTCCGCTCTATGGATAAGCTCCTGCCTCTGCTGCCGGCCCGGGCCATGTGAGGATAGGCGTCCCTGGAGCGTGAACGCCCCCTCTCTGGGACGCTGGGTGAGATGAGAATGTCCCTCCGTACCTTCCTCTGTCTGAAACAAAACACAGGGTTACAATATCTTTTCTGAGCAAATGTAAGGGTGTCAAATATGCAAAACAAATGTTGGACACCAACTTTTTGAGGTCTGCGTCTTTCTGTCTGCGCTGTCTGTCCTGAATGTAAGCAGTTGGGTCAAAGCGTTGAACCTGGGACCCTGTAAGAGAATCAGGACAAATATCAGAAATTTGATTTAGCCTTTTTTAAATATAAAAAGCTCAGCAACTTCCTGAGCCCAGCCAGTACCTGTGGGAGAAGCTGACGGCCTGCGTATGGAAGCACGCGGTCCCGAAGAGTCCGCTCTCCTTCCCCTCTCCTCCGACCTTTGCCCTCTGTCCTCCATCCGCTCTCTGGACCCCGAGCGAACCCTCATTGTCCCGTACCCCGACCTCCTCTCGCGGGACAGAGAGCGATAGGCTTCCCCATCGCCTCGAGAGCTGATGTGACCAGGAGTCACTCTCCTGCAGACACACAAAGAGGGTGTGTGCTACGTTAGCAGGTCATTTATATTCACGTATACTCTACATTGTAAGTGAATGAATAGAAGAGAAAGAGAAAGTAAAGATATAGTACACGCTTAGAATGTCTAACCCTCTCCGTAGTAACGCCAGTTCACTGCTGAGACTCTTGACCCGAACACGGAGAGCGCACTCTGATGCTCTCAGACCCTCAAACTAGCCAAGACAGGGAATAAAAACATGTTAGTCACAAAAGGAAACAAAATTAATTCTTTTTTGACTATTTTGAGCAGCAGAAGAGGTCCACCTGCGCCATGAGGAGTTGCTGGTCCTGGCATCTCTTGCTGGCTGAGCGCTGACCTTTGGCCCTCTCCTTCAGGAGCTGCTCCTCCAGATGCCTCACCACGTCTCGCCCCCTCCTGTCCTCTCGTCCCGCCACCGAACCACCTCCACCGATCTGCAGTCGCTCCAGCACATTACCCATGGCCTCCTTCTCTTCTTTCACCAGAGCCAGCCTTGGAAACAGTAGCAGACAGTTAAAAAAAAAAAGTCCCACATCCCTTTATATTTGACACCAAGATGGAAAGCCACCTACTCTGCTCGTAGCTGCTGGATTTCTTGTTGTGCAGCTTTGTTGATTCCATGAGAGGAGACAGTGTTGAGCTCAGCTTTCAGAGCTCTGACTTCCTTCTGCAGGGCGGCGGGGTCAGGCTTACCCACATAGGGCAGGGGTAACGGGTAGTGTATCCTACAAGCACAAACAAGTCAGTAAATCATGAGTTATATACACAAAATATTGAAAAGTAAAAATGTGTAGGTCACCAACTAAATAATGTTTAACATGTGATGTGTATGAGACACAAACCTGTCAAACTCCACAGTGTATATGAGGATGAGATATCTTTTGGCAGTGAGAGCAGAGGACTGTTGATTTCCGCGAGGACGACTAACCACTCCGGCTTTTCTGTTACGGAGCAGCTCCAGGTCGGCGTAGGTCAAGAGGTCAAGTGTAACAGAATCACTCATCTGCAGAAAAAACTCAAGTTAACCATGCAACTGAAATAAAAGACCTTTTCCACCTGGACTAGTATTACCTGGGGACATCCAGTCATTTATAATAATGGCAGAGGTTGACCTGAATCTGCCAAATTGACCACAGCAAATTACCAACCATACTCCCTCAAATGTCATGTGACAAGTGCAAGTAAATATCATATTTATAATATCATCCAGCTAATTTCCTCTATAAGCGGTACATTCCACCACACAAGGTTCCCTGGTAGTTTTGTGGAAAAAGGACTTCAACAATGCTTTCTAAATGTACATTACATTACATTGCATTTAGCTGACGCTTTTATCCAAAGCGACTTACAATAAGTACATTCGACCAGGAAGACACAACCTTGAAGAAAACAGAATCATATAAGTACATCAGGTTTCATAGAGCCAAACATTTCAAGTGCTACTCAACTGGCTTTAGATAAGCCAGTCCTTTATTAGTATAAAAGTGCTTCGTTAATAGTTCTAACGCTCGAAGTGGAGTCGAAAGAGATGAGTTTTCAGTTTGCGCCGGAAGATGTGCAAGCTATCTGCTGTCCTGATGTCAATGGGGAGCTCATTCCACCATCTTGGAGCCAGGACAGCAAACCCACGTGTTTTCGCCGATGGGAACTTGGGTCCCCCTCGCAGCGAGGGCGCAACGAGTCGTTTGGCTGATAAAGAGCGTAGTGCACGCGCTGGGGTGTACGGTTTAACCATGTCCTGGATGTACGAAGGGCCAGATCCATTCGCAGCATGGTAAGCAAGTACCAGTGTCTTGAAGTGGATTCTAGCAGTTACCGGAAGCCAGTGAAGGGAGCGGAGGAGCGGAGTGGTGTGGGAGAATTTAGGAAGGTTGAAGACCAGACGAGCCGCTGCATTCTGGATGAGTTGCAGAGGTCGGATGGCACATGCAGGTAGACCAGCCAGGAGGGAGTTGCAGTAGTCTAGGCGTGAGATGACGAGAGCCTGGACCAGAACCTGAGTCGCTTTCTGTGTCAGCTGGGGACGTATCGTCCTGATGTTGTAAAGCGTGTATCTGCAGCAACGGGTTGTAGCAGCGATGTTTGCAGTGAAGGACAGGTTGTTATCTAGGGTCACACCCAGATTCCTTGCAGTCTGAGTCGGGGGAAACAACTGAGGTGCCGATGTTGATTGTTAGGTCAAGAGTGGGACAATCTTTTCCCGGGAGGAAGAGCAGCTCAGTCTTGTCAAGGTTGAGCTTGAGGTGATGAGCAGACATCCACTGAGAGATGTCAGCTAGACAAGCAGAGATGCGTGCGACGACCTGGGTCTCTGAGCGGGGAAAGGACAGAATTAATTGGGTGTCATCAGCGTAGCAGTGGTAAGAAAAACCATGCGGGCTAATGACTGATCCGAGCGAGTTTGTGTACAGGGAGAAGAGGAGGGGACCAAGAACAGAGCCCTGAGGGACCCCCGTAGTTAATTGACAAGGGTCGGACTCAGACCCTCTCCAAGTCACCCTGTAGGTACGGTCTTTCAGGTATGAGGTGAGGAGGGAAAGTGCAGAGCCTGAAACTCCAAGTTTTTGGAGAGTGCGAAGGAGGATCTGATGATTCACCGTGTCGAATGCAGCAGACAGGTCCAACAGGATGATGACAGAGGAGAGGGATGCAGTTTTTGGCAGTGTGCAGTTCCTCAGTGACAGCAATGAGAGCAGTTTCTGTGGAGTGACCTGCCTTGAAACCAGACTGGTGCGGATCCAGAAGGTTGTTCTGATTGAGATAACAGGAGAGTTGTTTAAAGACAGCGCGTTCAAGTGATTTAGACAGGAACGGGAGGAGAGAGACAGGCCTGTAGTTTATAACATCAGACGGGTTGAGAGTGGGTTTCTTTAGGAGAGGGTTTACTCTTGCCTCCTTGAGACTGTTTGGAAAGTGACCAGAAGTTAGAGAAGTGTTGATGAAATGGGAGAGAAACGGTAGAATATCAGGAGCGATAGTCTGAAGGAGGTTTGAAGGGATAGGGTCCAGAGGACAGGTGGTAGGGCGGGCAGAGGTAATGAGGGTAAGAACCTCACTTGGAGAGAGAGGGGAAAAGGAGGTCGGTGTGTGGGTGAAAGGAGGGTCTGGTGACCCAGCGGTGAGTAAAGGTGAGTCAGAAAAAGAAGAGCGAATATCATCAACCTTTTTTTCAAAGTGGGTAACAAAGTCGCTTGACAGAAGTGAGGAGGGGGGAGGAGCTTTTGGAGGGTCCAAGAGGGTGGAGAAGATGGAAAATAGTTTTTTAGGATTGGAATAGGAAGATTGGATCTTATCTTGAAAGAAAGTGCTTTTTGCCTGAGAGATCGAAGCAGAGAAAGAGGAGAGGAGAGCCTGATAGGTTAGGAGGTCGTCACGGTGTTTGGATTTCCACCATTTCCGCTCTGCTGCCCTAAGGACGGTTCTATTAGCACGCAGTGCATCATTTAGCCAGGGAGCAGGAGGGGACTGACGAGCCTGCCGAGATGTGAGAGGACAGAGCGAGTCCAGAGTGGATGAGAGAGTAGAGAGGAGAGTTTCTGCAGCAGAGTTTGGAGGCAGGAGATGGAACGAATCAGAGGAAGGGAGGGCTGAGAGCACCGACGAGGCAAAGCTAGAGGGGGAGAGGGAGCGAAGGTTACGGCGGACAAGTGCAGGATGAGAAGAGATTAGTTTGTTATGTTTGGAAAGGGATAGAGAGAATGAAATGAAGAAGTGATTGGATGTGTGGAGCGGGTTTACAGAGAGGTTAGAAGTAGCGCAGTTCCTTGAGAATATGAGATCAAGGACATTGCCAGCTTTATGAGTCGGTGGGGACGGAGACAGTGAGAAAGCAAAGGCGGTTAACAGAGATGTTAGTTCGTCTATCTTCCCCGTCTGGAGGTTGAAGTCTCCGAGAAGTACAGCGGGAGGGCCAGTTTCAGGGATGAGTGAGAGGAGATTATCTAATTCCTCCAAGAAGTCCCCCAAGGCGCCTGGTGGACGGTAGAGAACAACAATGGTTAACTGTATAGGATGGGTTACTGTGACGGCATGGAATTCAAAGGTGGAAGGAGTAAAGTTAGGTAGCTTGAAGAGGGAAAAGCTCCATTTGGGAGAGAGCAGGAGACCAGTGCCACCTCCTCTGCCAGTGGGTCTGGGTGTATGGGAGAAGGAATATGCAGTACCAAAATGTGCAATTGTTTCTCTTATTTTCCTCCAGGCCTTTTCCTTTTGGCCTCTGTTCCTCAACATTAATGAAAGGCAGAGAGGGAATGAGACAGCTAGAGAGAACTGTACATTTTGCGCTCAAGTGGAAACATTGAACTCGAATGAATGAGTCTCGCCTCAGCTCACACAGCCTCGAGCAGATCCGAGTCTGTCTCTCTATTGACTGCATGCGTTTGTGCCACCGCTGCATCGTTGCACCATTCTGTATTAGGGCCCCTTCCAACATACCTTTCTCACAGCTGATTCCAACATGCTGCAGAAGATAGGGAATTGCTTAAAGTTGCCAGTTTTGCGGGTGAGGTCTTCAATGTCTGAAAAAAATGTATTAAAATTGTGTGAGTGAGAATATTTGTAATATTTATAAATCTATTATAGATGTATTATGCTACTACTTACATGCTGGATCAAAGTCCCCTCTCCACTGATCTGCCGTCATCGCGTCAGATATTTCAACTATCAGCAAACCCTTGTCCACCTCTATCTTCACAGAAAACTCCACTCCTCGAAATACAATATCCTCCACCACCTCAGAGCCCTCCTCCATCGCTCTGAGTCTGGGTGGGAGAAATACATTGATCTTAAGAATCAGGAAGTACAGGAATCAATTAACTACCTTCTGTTTAATAGCTTGGTTATAATGTTGGTTGGACTTTTTACAAGATTCTATATGGTTAGGAATTGTCATGTCATAGAGCTACATACATCTGAGGTCAGGAACATATATTAAGCCTCATTATAACCCTGATTTGACCAAGAAAACACATGTTCAACATCTTGCTAAGTCTGCAAAAAACATGGACTTAATGTTAACTGATGGCGCAAAGTCTGGTAGGTGTTGAGGATTAAAATCATATCAAACGTCTTGGCACATTTGGACAAATCGGAACCTGATTACATGTTATTTAGGAAGTTTTAAAGGGAATCTGAATCGGTGCAACTGTTAATTCTTTTAAAATCAATCCTAAAATGTAACATAAAGAGTTTTGGAGTATTTGACATGCCTACAAGTGGGGTCATGGCCTGAGATAAGAACCTAAAAGCCACATTATGAGTTTATCAGGTTGTGCAGGTATTATGTGCATGTCCTGTTTTCCACTCATGGGATTGTTTCGGCAAAGTACATGAGTACATTAAACACAGGGTTGACTCCACTATAGAAAATGGAGGTCTGCTGGCTTGGACTTAGCTGTATTTATAAATAGTTGTGTTAAACGAAACTATATAATTATTCTGTATTTGTCTTCCTATTTCACTAGGTGTGTACAGTATGGCTGCCCTCTCACATGCTGTCTTCATCACAACACACCGCATGGGGCGGTAGTGAGCCAAACAGCCCATTTTAAAAAGGTGTCATCATTTTTATTAGAGAAAAGTTCAGGTTGGTTGGTCATATCCTACGTTGAGGACTCAGCAAATGACTTGAGACATGTTTAACGAGGTACGTTGCTAATTGCGTCTCTTTATTATTGCGGTACAATGGTGTTTAGTTTTCGCGCTTGACTTCACGTTCTCCCGTGCGAGTGAAAGCGGCATGCATGTGTGTTCATCTTTCACTGACATGCACACAAACACACGCTCGGGTAACTGCGTGTTTGGCATAGTTACTTCACAACATTACCATTCAGTTTGAGGGTCGGCTCTAACAACTGTTCGTGGTGGGCTTTTACACTGTATTTAAATAACGCGACGTTATCTTCTACTCATTTTCTGGGGCAACGTTAACTGAACGTTAGCTAAGGTTAGCTAGCATTGAGATCATTGTCAGTTAACTTGACTCGCAGATAGCTAACCGAGCTATCTGTGTGTGAACCAACATGAATAATGTTATCAGTGTGTGCATTATCCGTGTGTGCACGATCAGTGTGTGATTGATCAGTGTTTGAATGAACGCAACACATGTATACAAAAAACGTTAACGTTACCTTTGGTCGCAGAAACGATCCGTAATGAGGGAAGTTGTCAACACATAGCTAAACGTTGTAAAACAAAGCGGCCAGCGAGATGAGGTGGTGAAAGAACCAGGCGCTAGATGGGAGGTGACAGCACAGTCAGAACTACTGTGGAAGCACCGGCGCGGCACCGTGCAGACGGGAGCGGTTCAACAACCGGGAACCGTTAAATTCTTCTTCTTCAGTTTGCTCCGCCGCCTCTTCCTCTGCTGCTTCACATAGGCTCGCGCGTTCCGGAGGACCGCTGCCCTCCAGCGGCGGTGAACACTCACTGCCTCCAGAGGAAGAGGATGGAAAATAGTATCAGATACAGGAGCAGTATGACCATCTAAAATATGCATTACAAAATGTGACTTATATATGAATGCAGAACGAAATACAGAAGTATTTTATCTGATTTATTCCTTGATATGATATTATATTATATAATGTTAATCAATGATTGTGGTGGAACATTATGGGACATCATTCACCGTTTTATTGTGTGTTGCACCACGGACCTGTTAGAGAGTGTACCGTGTTGTTGTGTTCATTCTAGCTTGACAGTAGCAGGTAGCAGATGTTCCTACTTTTCTGTAACGAATGGAAAATAAAGTGTGGAGTTCCATACTGAACACACCGCCTCCGACTCCCATTCATCGGCACTACATGATAATAATAATAATAATAATAATAATAATAATAATAATAAAGCCTTACGAATGAGGATGCATTCAATCCAAAACAGTGCTGATGTACAGTATACATTTCTAATTGAAAATCATCAGATTTATTTATTTAATTATTATTTTTTAACAGGGACAGTGTTAGTTTGTAATCTGTAGTGCCTGGACAGTAAGTCATCATACTGTATAAACAAATGTAATGAACAGATAGAACAAAGAATATCTTTGTGTGAAGCTTGTACCACTAATTTGTTTTATCTAAATTATAATAATATAAACATTATCAATGTTTCCCTATACACATCAATTGAAATAATTGTGTCATCACATTTGAAACATCACTAAAACTCTTGAAACAGACTTCCAGTTGCTGATATCTGCGTGATACGCCTTGTGCTGTTTGGTTTTGTGTTTCATAGCAGCTTCAGTAGAAAACAAGTGCTTCCTGTAAATGTTTGATGAACCTGTTGCACAAGTTCGGAGACGACCCCTTCCTTTCTTCACTTAGTCTTGGTAAAGGGCTGTTACCACGGAGACCTTGTTCACCCATAAGGCAAAAAGGCGAGTAACTGAGTCTGAAGTCTGCTGCAGCGGCAGGGGAGTGTGACCTGGTGTGTGTGTGTGTGTGTGTGTGTGTGTGTGTGTGTGTTGGCTACAGAAATACTGACTGTTTTTTAGTCTTTACATGCAGAACTTCACATGGAAGAATCATAAAAGTTGTGGGACTACATCTCTCCTCCCTATGACCCCAAAGAAACCCCAGCAGTGGCTGCAAGTGGTCGGACATGCAGGTTTGTCTCACTTTCCTTTTGCTTCTCAAAGGGTCTTATTTTGGTCTAAAAAAAATATATCCGTGGCTTGTTTTCTTTCCTCGCTTGTCTCCACAGGGAGCTTTCATGTCGGGGATTACGGCACCCTGCTGAAGAGGTTCTGTGAGGGGGAGCAACAGTGCTACCTCAGGCTGATGGAGGACACTTTAAAGCCCTTTGTTCCAGCCTACCACGGGATAGTGCAGCGGGACGAGCAGGATTACAACATGATGGATAACTTGCTGACCCATTTCAACACACCTGCCGTCATGGACTGCAAGATGGGCAGCCGGTGAGCTTTAACTGATCATATCTTGTCACCGAGAGAAGTGAATGGGTTTTATCATTTGAACACATTTGAATGGGGAGACATCATTCAGCAGGAAAATACCTTATATCCTCCATATCAATATATTGGAAGCTGAAAAACTACATTATAAAACACACATACATGTATTAGACTGAACATCTGTTCTGTAAGGACAAATGTATGAGGTCCTATTTAAAGCAACATTACACATTTACTTTATTTTAGAATCTGTGTACATTTTCTCTTTTTAATATTAATAATGGTACTTTATTAACCTATTCCTTTTGATCATGTATGTTTTTTTTCAAATCACATTCAGTCTATGCCAGTTGTGAAATATGCTATATAAATAAACTAGACTTGACCTGAATTATGTGAAAGCATAATGTTCCTGTTTTGTTTTCACAGTTTTAATAGCTTTAAATGCAGTTAATTAGCTCCAGTCTAATTACAGTGAGGCACTTTCCTTCACAGCACGTACCTGGAGAGGGAGCTGCTGTTGGCCAAAGAGCGGCCGCAGCCCCGCAACGACATGTATGAGAAGATGGTGGCAGTGGACCCAGAGGCCCCTACGGTGCAGGAGCGAACCCAGCAGGCAGTGCTGAAAACCAGGTACATGCAGTGGAGGGAGACGCTGAGCTCCACCACGTCTCTGGGTTTCCGTATCGAAGGATTCAGGGTAAGCTCCAAAGTTCATCAAAGGCAGTTCTGTGAGGTCATTGACTCATCTTGATGTATAGCAAATAAAATATGTTAAACTAAATATTTTAGGAATGCAGCAATAAATGTCTGAATTCATAGTTTAACGGTACACTGTGTTGGATTCAGGTTTTAGCTTTGCATTATAATGCTGTGACCTGTTTCTTCTGTGCAGAAGTCAAATGAAGAATGTCACACAAACTTCAAAAGGACCAAAAGCAGAGATCAAGTGATGGCAGCTTTCAACAACTTTGTTGAGTCAAATACACACATTGTGGTGAGTGTGACCTTCACTGAATTTCATTTACTTGATCGTGTGTTCTATTTCCTCTCTTTTTAAACCTTGTTTCTTTCCCTTCAGTGGGGCTATCTGAGACGATTGAAAGAACTGCGGCAGGTCTTGGAAGAATCCGTCTTCTTCAGAACACATGAGGTTAGACATTTATGGCGCGTTTCCACTGCAGTGGGTAGCTCGCTTTAAGCGTGCCGAGCCGTGCGGGGCCCGTTTTTGGTTGCGTTTCCACTTGGCCTAGTACCGGCTAACGGGTCCTAATTCACAGTTTTTCTGGCCCCATAAAATCGTGGTTCTAGGGCCAGGAACAACCAGGGTGAGCCGGGCTGAGTATGCTAAACTAGAGAGAGAATCGCTGGCAAAGGGGCTACAACTACAACAACATGAACATATTTTACCGTGATTTAATTGTAATACACGTTTCAACATGATGCCGAAGTAACAACATACTGATACCGGTTAGTAAAAACCATGAATTAATGCTTTGACAAGTCTGCAGACAGACGGCAGGCGAAAACCTTTTAAAATGCGTGTTTTCTAAATGGAGATTGGCTAAGCTAACGTTATATATGCTCCGACCGTCCACACTCACAACAACGGCCTATACAGACATAAATAAACCAGCGACTGTATTCACCATGACACAGGCAGTCTGTGGTTTGTACTTGTTTAACTTTTGTCTAGTTTCTGAACAGATATGAAGAGCTGTGAGCTCTGAGTGCTAAGAGCTAATGGCTGTGTTGTTTTTCTGGGGTGCTCATTGAAGATGACGTCACGGCTCCGCCTACACTGCGTTACAATAGTAACTTCCCCAGTTCCTAAACTGTAATGGAAGCGCAGCATTAAAGTGAGCCTGGCCTAATAAGGCCTAACCAAACCGAGCGAGGCCTGCAGTGGAAACGCGCCATTAGACCTTCTTTTTATTTACTGGTGTAACAGGCTTTGTCTGATAATAAATCACACTTGTCCAAAGGAGGATCTTTTCCCTAACAGCTTTATCCCTGCAGGTCGTGGGCAGTTCCTTATTGTTCCTTCATGACTGGAAAGGCAGAACAGGAGTCTGGATGATTGACTTTGGAAAGACAGCGGCATTGCCGGCACACCTTTCCTTGGACCACCGCACTCCCTGGGTGGAGGGCAATAGAGAAGATGGCTACCTGTGGGGTCTAGACAACCTCATTGATATACTGTCCAACATGCTGCCACTGACCTGAATACCCCTCTTAAAATGTGGACATTTACTCTTAATCTTTCCTTTAAGACTCACAATGGAAGTGAGTGACTGCCGATGGACTTCTTGACTCTGAAATGGCTTGTCAGAATTATGGGATTAACTATATTGAAAAACGCATTATGAGGGGGATTTATTGCGATACCAACACATTTAGCAAAATGTGCTCACAAATAAATGATTTCCTGCAAATTAGGCCCACGCCATTGGTCAAAAGGTCATTGGTGATCCATGGAATCTCAACCTGAGCCTCTTAAAGTTTGACCACTGATTGAATAGACTAGACTAGACTGCACTTATCTGCCACTAACAATGATCTAACTGTCCAGCCTCAGCGCAGCTAACCCAAATGTCTCGAGGTAGCCTGCTCATTATTTCAGGAAAAACATGGCACAAGCAATTACAGGCCAAAGAAATGACTGCTCCTTCTGCCTGGAGATTTAAATGTCACACTTTGTCAAGAAAATGGTGCTAAAACGTTCAAAGTGGGCATACATTCCTGCTTTTCATTAATTCATTTGTTTGCATATTATCATCATTTGTTTTAAACACTAGATTGAGAAATTAAACACTATGCTTTGCTGCTTTAATGGATATCAAATCAAGGTATGTGGCAGTTTATGTTAATAGTTCAGACCAATGATAATTAGAGTGTTTCTTGTGCTCTAACAATATCAGACCTTTGCACATCGTGAAAGATGGGGCTATTAATTCGATTTTTAACATTGCATTTATATTATTTACATTATTTACTATTCAAGAAATGTACCTATTTTATTTACAGACGTTCATGGTCCCCATAAGATAATTCTTCATGACTTTTTTGACTTCCACTTTAGCACAATAAGGTTGACATTTCAGTGAAACGTACTAGATTGTCATGACGTAGTGACATCAACAACACACAATTGTAGTTTGCCCAATACTCAATATTGACAAAACTCACGCCTCCGCTTTAGTGTTTACTGCAATTTAATACATGCTAGCATGGTAATCTGGTAAAATGTTAGCATTATGACATTAGCATTAAGCTCAAAGCACATTGTTCCTACCTACAGCCTCAAAGAGCCGATAGCATGGAAAGAAGCACTAGTAGATTAACATTACATTTTTTATCAGCTAACTGAGTAATATCACACTATTTATACTTTAATCTTTTAGAGACAAGTGACTTGTTGATGCTATCATAACCTTTTAGCGACTTGTTGTCAGTAGTTGGTTGTCATTTCCAGACAGAGTTTTTAAATGGTATAAAACTCCCCTCGTGTCCTTCCTGCAGCGCACACCTTGACGGTTTGAATTTGCACCTTTCTCTCTTCAGTGTAGGGGTGACAAATGCAAACCTGCTGTTGTTATCTTCTTTCCAAGTATAAAGTTTGATGTTTGTACTGTTTTGTATAATCTAAAACATCAATATCAAGCAGATGGTGCATTTCTTCATACATGACAGTTGATCTGTCAAAACAAAACAATACTGTTTGATTAATTGCAGATTGATGTGAAATTAACTTTTGGCTAAAAATATTAGTCAAAACTGTATTCAAATAAACAAATTAAGTCAAACCTATTTATATTATTGTTACTTGCATGTTGGTTTGGAGTACTTGAAAGGGACTGAAAAAACTTAAATTAAATGTATTATGTGTCACATCAAATTGCACATAATTGTACTTGGTTAGTTGAAAGCAATAATATTAAGTTGAACCTAATACTTGTTATTGAAACTTATATTACATATATTCAGTGTAGAGTACAATGTCATATTCAAATTCTGTGTAGTGAAAGATTCCAAGCTTTTTGTTTATTATTGCCAAATCAATTTTTAGTACTACGTTGATGGATTCATTTATTTGTACTGACGTAATAACTGTCACAAAAATACCCTTTTACAGGCATATATTTCAGCACTATAAACAGAACATGACTCAACCTGCAGTTCAACACCTGATGCAGTGCTGAGTGGAGAGATGAAGGCAGATATGTTTCTGTCTCCACACCTGTGGAGGGAACCCCTGCCCTCGGCCGCGCCGCCAGACGAGATTAAAGGGATGAGCAGACAGAGAAACTGAAAGTCATGCCCAACAAATCCTCCCACACAGAAACAACAAAAAGCACAAAGGCACCTCAGTGGTGGTGAAGACAGAGAGGCCAGCTCTGCTCTTATAATTCAGTCAGTTCAAAATGTGGTGAGTTTCTGGTCACATGACAGTTGTCTTATGCTTATGCCACTGCTGAATATTTGGGTAGAATTCAAATCAGGTCCTACAATCAGTGATTATAGGATCAGTGATTATAGGACCAAATATATAAAGCAAACCTTGGGTCACTTGTTGCACTGAAGTTGAATTGGGTGTGATGAAGGCTAGAAAAAGGTAAGTAGTTGCTTCAAAATGAAGAGACGAGGAGCCCAATCAGGCTGTGCTCAAAGACAGAGGGGTGGGCAGTGGTGATGTCAGTGTGTGACAGATGAAACATCAGACAGCCTCTTGCTTTGCACAAACAGCTCAAGAGACTTCCTCTCGCTGGTCATTGTGCAGCAGATCACAGCGGAGCGGCAACGAGAACAGGTACCATCTTTATTTATTTTTAACTTTTAAACTTCAAATTGATCTGTGAGTGGATACATATAAACTGTTACTGATTTAGCCTGAATTAAGTTAATTAACTATGGCATGTATGTTTTTTGTGAGATTTGTGTGGTTAAAAATATTACGTGTTAATAACGGTAATTACATATTTACATTGTATTGGATGCTAGTCAGCTTTTTCTAGTTGAAAAATGAAGTATAAACAGTTTTGCAAAAGATTAAAGAAAGGGGAAAAATAATTACATTGTAGTTAGTTACTATGAGTCAGATTTGTGTTGCAATTGTTTAATTATAGGGGGGATGAAGGTAATCAAATATTTGCATTGTATACTTCAATAAAATATATCTTTCTTGTTTTCTTACAGGCTATTTTCCCCAGATGCTTTTTCTTCTTCTCATAAATGATTAAAGCAGCCTATAGACCTCCAATAAATGACTCTAAACAGCAATTTTACAGCCAAATGTAATGCTGCGTATGTAAACAAAAAGTGCTTTATTTAGGCAGTGTGTATGTTGTGTGCCGGGTGATGCATGCAACACAGTGCAGGTTGGTGTCTCTCTGCTGCTGCTGAGCTCATGGCTCACAGGAGAGCCGGTGGCTGCTGCTGCCCCCGGGCGCCCATGAATGAAGACAATGCTCGTTTCTGCCTGCTGGCCGGCCTCATCCTGCTCTACTTGCTGTGCGGTGCTGCCATCTTCTCAGCCCTGGAGCACCCCTTTGAGCTGCGTGCCCGCCGCCTCTGGAAACAGCAGCTGGAAAACTTCACGCAGCGATACAGGGTCAACCTGGGTGCACTGCACACTCTGCTGCGGCAGTACGAGGAGGCGAACGGAGCTGGGATCAGAGTGGACACCCTGAGGCCTCGCTGGGACTTCTCTGGAGCTTTCTACTTTGTGGGTACGGTCGTCTCCACTATTGGTAAGCCTTGAAGCTTTTCTAAGATTATCTTCATGAGATACGAACTCCACAATGGTTGACTTTGACCTTTTAACCTTTTGTTTTGGCTCTTCTCCAGGCTTTGGCATGACCACACCGGTGACGATAGCTGGGAAAATATTCCTAATCTTCTACGGTCTTATCGGCTGTGCTGCCACCATCCTCTTCTTCAACCTATTCCTGGAGAGGATCATCACGATGTTAGCTTACATCATGCGCTGGTGCCATGAGCGTCGGCTGAGGTGTGCCGGGGTGGAGTCGAGCAGGGAGGAGTCTTCTGGTGAGGAGGACAGCCTGGAAGGATGGAAACCGTCGGTTTACTATGTGATGCTGATCCTGGGCGTGGCATCGGTTGTGATTGCGTGCAGCGCCTCCACCCTGTACAGCTCTATGGAGAACTGGAGCTATGTGGACTCCCTCTACTTCTGCTTTGTGGCCTTCAGCACCATCGGCTTCGGGGACCTGGTGAGCAGTCAGAGGCAGCAGTATGAGTCGCAGGAGGCCTACCGGCTCGGGAATTGCCTGTTCATCTTGATGGGGGTGTGTTGCATCTACTCACTTTTTAATGTAATTTCTATTATCATCAAGCAAACTCTTACTTGGATCGTGGGGAAGCTGGTGTGCTCGGGCCGGCATCGGCTCTGCTCCTGCTCCAAATCTGGCTGCCGGTGGCTCTGTTGCCCCTGCCTCCAGAAAAAAAATCGCAACCGCCTGCATCCGCCTGCACACCTCAGAAGAAAACGCTTAAAACCCAACACTGTGCAGCCCATGGCTTCCCACTGCCCTGCAGGAAGACACTGCTACAGGGACGGCTCGGTGGAGACGGTGTGTGACAGTGAGACGGACGCAGGCACAGTGGCTGATGGGGCGTATGTTGGCCGTCGTCTGTCAGGAGAGATGATCTCTGTCAATGAGTTAATGGTGTCCAATAAGGTGTCACTGGCTCTGCTGCAGAAGCAGCTGAGTGAGACTGCTCACCAGGGCCCGCGGCAGAGCTACGGCCATCAAAATGGATTCTCTGGAGGTGTGGGCGCCCTGGCCATTATGAATAATCGCCTACAGGAAACCAGTGTGGATAGGTAGCCCCAACGCGAGGGCATTATGTGCATTGCCTTCTATTGGAGCCCTAATTAGACATGTTTTATTACCAAGTTATTTAGAGAAACTGAATCATTTGTCCCATGACAAATCCAAATCCTGAATATAAATAACACCCTCTAATTAGAGTCTGTTCAGCACCTCTCTGAGTAATTTCAATGGGAGTCTATGCCGGTAAAAGCAGACCTCCAGCATTGATTCTGGACGTCAAATAATTGATTACATTTTGTTCTATGTAGAGAAAGACTGAAAATAAGACAAACAAGATTTCAAGAATTCAGCATCACTGTGAAGAGGGGTCTGATGTCCTGAAGTGATTGGCTCATTCAAAAGCAATCAGACGAAATAAGCTACCAAGGAGCACTTAAAGGGGCCTGCTGATTTAAGAGTGCTGCACATGTCCCCTGCCCATCTCAATAAACACGGCTAAACGTAGTGCGGTAGTCAGTATTAGCTAACATACAGGCACGATATCTACTCAACTACCTGCATAGATAAAACATTTAAGTTGTGATTTGTATTTAAACAGCGCTCCTTATAGGCACTACAGGAGCTCATGAGCACCAAGACATTTTAATTTGTTGATTGCTCACAAGCTGTCCATTTTGTTTCGTCAACGCATGTCATTGAAATTCAAAGTAATCATGAAAGACAGCAGATATCCAGGGTTTTCAAAAAGGCACATCTAATCAAACGTGGCCTGTAGAGGACGTCCTTATGCCAACAAGTGTTGTACGGATAGTCAACAGAAGGGAGAACAAGATTCAGGATCTCCTCGACTAGCTGGAGGAGATCCTCTACTATGCAAGAAAACACATTTTAATCCATTCTGTGTCTTTCTGTATCTAAAGGTTTATATCAGTGTGAGCAGAAAAGTTCCCTCCTTAGAGACAAAATCATCCATCTTCCTCTAGTGGTCACGTTTGATGAATTGTCCGCACTGTTTAAAACATAAGAAAAGCAGTTCTTTAGCCAGTTATTGTGGGCAAAAACAAGTCGTCAATTAAATATGCTTTATTTAGCATCCAAACAGTCATGACTCTTAAAATGTAATGTCTATTCACAGCATATAATACATATAATTAATATCACAATGCAGTATATGATGCAGATACAATGAACAACTCTTAAACTGAACTGTTCTGATGCTGTTTGTTTTGTCAACTATATAAAATATGTATAAGGCAGCACATGACATATCATCAAACCTATGGAAAAAACACATTTCACATATACTTTATGGAAGAACATGTTCAGAAATATGATAGATATGATAATATATAGAAACAATTGCAAGGAAATTGGTCATGTAGAACGTGTTCATGTAACATTGATTTTGATTGACTTTAGGGTGTTTGGCCAATTTTTTGATATTTTGTCTAGATTTTTGAAACGACAACCTACTGTATAAACTTTTTAATTATTTTAACAAATAACTCTTCTTCCAAACATCACTTCAGCCAAGTGGTTCTTATTCTACATGTTTAAAGTAAGTTATAGTTTAGTTTATGTGTGAAATTAATTTTCTCTTGACTAAGTGTGTATGCATTGACATTTTGTTGGTAGAATTAAACATTGAATATATATTTTATTCAACTATGAAGGATAAAGATAAATGTGTGCATTCCCTTCAGCTGTCCAGTCACTAGCACTGTTAGCATTTCTTATTGAAACAAATGGATGCATGTTAGCTTTAGGCTAGCTTTTGGCTGTAGAGGAAAGACTGAAATTCTTTAAAAATATTTCATTATATCTATTCTTAAAACATCATCTTCAAAATATAACTCTACAAACACATACTCCTTATTCCATCTAAAGGAAATGTACAATTTCGCAGCTGGTTGTTATTCAGTTGTACATTGATTTAAAACCGTCTGTATCTTCTGTTCACCGAAAATGAGGCAGAGGTTTGTTGCTGGATCAGTGTCTCTGAGTAAGTTTTACAAAATGTCCTTCTGTATAAATATAAAATGTATCAGGCTTTATTAGATCTATTCTTGCATTGTATTTGTTATGAAACGATGCTGCTTGCTATGATGTAAACAAACATCTCTGTCTGTTCATCATCTCCATTTTTGTCAAAGTGCACGCATGAAGAAAAACAGTTTTAACATTAATTACAGTCTCTCCATGGACCCATGGCGATGAGCCGGGCTTCTCAGGAGCCTCACATCATGCCCTGGAAAGACAGGTAGTAGAGAAAATAATGGTGAATACACTGTGCATAGTGAAGGGAAATAACATGTGGATGACTTGAAAGGGACAAATGTATAGTTTGTACTCACATTGGGCTTGTAATGCTCTCTTTGTTGATAGTAAGCTGAAATAATGCAGTTCCTTCTGCAAAACATAGAAGTAATAGAGTGTAATTTCACAATAGAGGGTACACAAAAACACACAGACACACACACACGATCATGTTGTGTCTCTTACTTGCTCTGTATGCCTCCACCTGGTGGTAATCCAGGGATGACTGTGGATGCGAGGAGTGTGAGGACAGACAGCAGGTCAGGTTCTTCCCCTCTGGCGCACAGCTCAGAGTAAATCTCTGTTGGATATTTAAACAAAAACATGAAAAATAATTTGTACATGCAGCTTAAAAAAACAGCCTTGGATGTATATTCTTTAATATTGGTTAACAACTGTTGACCATAAAAGGAACAACACTGCCTTCCAATAATTGAATTAACATATTGGTGCTTGCTGAACAATGTGCAAACATAAAATGGGTCAAACACAATAATATTTACATTTTTGTGAAATACTAAGTAATAAACAAAAACAGCTTCCAACTGCAGATTACAACCTACATTGCTCAGTAGTAAATGTAGCATTTGTAAGGGACTTTTTGCGAATAATACACATTTGGTGTTTTAGTGAGTAATTACCATATAAGGACAGTATACTACAGTGCCAATGTTTAGGTAATGAAGGAACAAGCCCAAGTTGGCAACAATGGAGTTCTATAGCAGAGAGGAACAATATGTATCAGGCTCTGTCTACACACAAAACATTTGTTTAGCATGATATTGTAATTTAAAGGGATAAAAATGAGAACTAGTCCAAGAAATGTGCTGATTGTTTTGGATTAGCATCAATTAAGATACGTATTGAAAGAAAGTGTTTCATCTCAGGTGGTAACCAAATACCCCATAAAGAAAAAAAGTGTCAGACCTTCCATATCAAAACATGATCAAAACAAGTGCCTAATGTCACAGTGGATTAGCGTCCCCTGTGTGTCATTTCTACCCACACACCTGCTACTTTGGACTCCAGCAGGTCCTCCAGCTCGGCCTCCTGGTGCAGAGCCTCTGCTGACAGCTGGGGGGCTCCAGGGAAGCACAGCAGGATGATGCTGATGTTGTCCAAGCTGCCCTGTGGAGCAAAGTGGAGTCAACAGAGGTGAGTAATAATGGCTGACCGTACAAAATGTCAACATATGAAACATTATATCACATCATGGGTGAATAGTTTTTGAGATAGACCATTTCAACTCAAAGTCACCTAACAGATGCGGTGGAGCAGGAACATTTTAATGGAGTGTGGAAGGAGCTGTGATATTTTAAGGTCATTGTGCACATCCGAGCTGAATCTCGGTTACATAACAGATTGGCATGATGGGCATGACGGACAAAAATGGATATCAGCATGTGCACATGCACATGTGTTTCTCTGACTGTTAAATTATGTCAATCCAATTGAGGGCACAACTAAACACAATAAACGTTTTCTTCTGAAAAGTGTAATTTCTCTTGACAAGCTAATATGTTATGCTACAGATTAATTACTCTATAATGAAAATGATCCTTCAATAAACACCATCAATTCTAGCAGCAATAATTCTGGATGTAATGATTACATCATTTTCTTTCATTGAACTGAAATTATTCTTTACTAAAAACACCTTCGATGAGCAATTGCATGTTCTTGTACATCAACCTTTGATCATCTGACACTCACTCAGTAAGAGTGGCTGACATTTGTACACATTGAAATCAAGAATAATCCGGTCTAACCTGTTCTGACACCCCTGTGGTCTATTTTAATGTGGTTTTACAGAGCATCCACAGCCTTTATGAGACTAAAACATAGTTTTTGTTTATAATGATCCAGTTTACAGACCTTCCATATGGGTATGAACGTGTTCAATGTGAATATGATCAATACTTTTAAAACATTAGACTATTTATGTGCTTGATGTCAGGGAGGTGTGTGGTGTAGTGGGTTGTGCATTCAACCCAGTCTCACGGCATTTCGTGTTCACCAACACGATTTTTAATCTATTGATTCGTGTTCACCAACACGATTTGCCCCTTTTTTTCGTGTTGCACGGCACGATTTTAAAAGCAATGTATTTCTACTGCCTGCAGCACGTCTTTTTCTCCGGTCGGGTCGAGGAAGACCGGAAGCTGTGTGGTTCATAAAAACATGTTCTTACTCAATATCAAGCCACAGTTATTGCTTTTATTTGAAATCGTATAATTTCGGACTTTTGTTGCCGTCTGTGAGGAAAATAAATGGGGCTCAGAGCCTCAGAATACGGAAATCTGTATTTTTAAATATTTTTTTCCTTCTAATTCGATATTCTTTTCAAAATAACACACTGTTATTTACTCACCAATAACACACAATTATCCTTGCTTTTATTTATTGGTTTAATTCCATAATCTCGGGCTTTTTTGGCGTCCGTCAGGAACTGAATTTCAAAATAAAAATAACCGGAAACAGACGTAGGCCTATAAGGGACATTTCGAGCATCATTGCGATTGTCAACATTTCTGAGTTTAGGATGGCCGAAGACACTACACTACCCATAATCCCCAGCTATCGTTTAGGACTACAGTCCCCGTAAGGTTACGCAGAGCGTCAAACAGCTGTGTGAAATGGAACGAAACCACGCCAGACTATCCAAAACTGGAATCTAACGCCCCCCCCTGAACTACACATGCTGGCGATTGTGTTTCGCAAAATGTTCTATGGGACGTCTCTACTGAACGTTTTCGTTTTCCCCACAATTAGAAGTTGTCAGTATTAAACACATTGGTGTTATCAAATGTAAAACATATAATTAATAAATGGGTGAAAATCGCTTGTGTCCATAATGCGCAGCATTAATACCCACATGACAGCTCATTGTTACTTTGTAATTCTACTCCACTACAATTCAGAGGTTAACCTGGTATTTGTACTCCACTGCATTTATTTGAGTTACTTTGCAGATTCTGATTAATTATGTGAAATATAAACAACCCTTAAATTAGACTTTAGTTACACCTGAGTAAAATTCAGGTAAGGTGATTGTCAAGTGCCAACAATCAGGAGAGATATTTGATAGTTGGTGCTTGAGAAGACTAAACATGTATCTGCAATTGACATGAATGGAAACGAGTAATAAAGTATATTCATTACTCGTTATTCTCTACTAATAGTTAATTAAAGACTGTATATTATGGCTATTTTGCACATCCCTTTCAAGATTTTCTAAGGTGTATTGACATATCATATACACAACTACGGTGTAGTTATGAAATGAATTAAACACTTGGGTCACAGGTTCCTCAACAGTGCATTACAAGACATCTATCAATATGTGTGTCCCTCCACCATTAAACTGTCATATTCTGCACATTTCTTATTCTATCTACATACATAAGAGTATAATTCATATGTATAATATCAGTTAAAATAAGTGCTTCAACATAGTTAACATTGCAGGAAAGCAATATATTAGACATTAAGTACTTTGTCAGGCTTAATATTTATCTGTAGATAGATACCCCCAAAGTTTTTTTCTTATTTAAAAGAAGACCTTAATCTGTTATTTAATGTTTGAATAAAGGTTAATTAGTTTTTCTGTTTTGCACCTCCTCCTATTAATATCTTTGTACATTCTGCACTAAACTGTTTTATTGTAGAGATCACTTATAGTATCTTCTTGATTT